ATCTACATGTATGGAACATTTAATTAGGTACAACTTTTGGATTAGTAAAATATTAATTTCTCTTATTAAAGGAACTGAAGCTCAACAGGCATAATAACATAAACAACCATCTACCAAGTACTACCTACATATAAGCTGAATTATTTCATATTCAATATGCATGTATTTGACCCTAAATATTTATTGATTTCTCTATACTTAACATAAGTAACAGATATTAGAATAGCTTCATTTACCCAAGAAATTCAGAAATTAATCTTTTATCTCTTAACGTTTAGTATTCAAAACATTGGGAAAATTGCATAGGTATAACTAATACAATGCAAATAAATAGATTATATATGCCTCATCATTAAAAGCTTGTGTTATTCTCTTTATTTCCTGCATTTTTTCAATGTCTGTGGTAAACATCAATTTTTTATGAAAAGAAATTATCATTTTTCCCTAAGTTAGCATACTGCATCCTCTGGTATTCACATGCCCAGCAAAAATCTCCTATATCTGACATTCAAAAATAAAGCTATGTCCGTGTCTGTCTGTCTTCCTAGGGTACAACATTAGACAGATTGTATATGCTACTTGACACAGCATTAGCTCAAAGAAAGGGGATGTTCTTTAATGAGGTTGGTTTTCTTACAGTGTTTGGAACTTTAGAAAACATAGGGATTTTTTTACATAGGAAGTTCACTGATATTTATAGAGTAGGTTGGTTTATTTAACCCAGTACATCAAAATGTAAGAGATTGGGCTGGGAGGAGGGGCGCTGGTGGAGGGACAAAGGAGGGGGGGAGTTGGGATTGACATTTGAAGCATGTATGTTTCTAATTTAAATAAAAACATAAAAAAATTTAAGGATATACTTTGGAACATGCAACCACTCAAGAAGATAAAGTCCAATTTAAAGGAATTATGAACACTCTAACCTATAGCTACTCTAGATTTATAATAAAAATATATTCAAACAAATGCATTTTATTTTTAATAAAATATAATAAACAGCAAGTTATCTGTTGAAAAATATACAATGTGTTCAACAGCATGTTAAGGACCTGTCATCTAGTGGCTACTATGAAGCAGTAAGAGAAGAAATAAGTGAGGAGTGCTTCAGATGCTTGCTTGGAAAGACAGCCAGTGTAAGAAAAAGGGGAAATTTGAATTCATGCATTCAGAGACAAAAGCAATCTGCTTAAAACACTAGACTGTATTGTCTTTCACAAACAGTATTTCTCACCATTTTGAAGGCCATTTAGGGGACTTTCAATGCATATACCTCGCATGATTTATAGAATCTAATATGTCTATCTTGAAGGAATTGTTATTTTTCACTTTTCCAGTGGCATGTGGTTCGTAAACGCATCTAGAAATGTGTTTAGTTTTGTTGGCGTATGTGTTCACTGGACGAAATAGGGACCTTAGATCAGTGCTTCTCAACTGTGAGTGAGAATATCACAGAGAGTACTTGGCAATCTCTGGAGGCGGTTTTTCACTTTCAAAATGAAGTGTAGAATTCCTACGGCTTCTTCTGGGTGAGATCAAAGAACCTGCTAAAATCCTCTCCGATGCCTCTGACCCAAATTCCTACTTGCATCATCTCATAAGTATTTGGCTCAAAATATTAATGACAGTGTTGAAAACATGATTTGGAATAAAAGAAAGCATAAAGCAAGGACAGCATTCTGTGGAAGTTTAACAGATCTACTCCACATTATGGAGTTTATACATAATTGCATACATACACACATACATAGGTGCACACTCAAGTGCATACTTGCATACACACATGCATACATATACATAAATTCACACACATACGTAAATGCATATACGCACATCCACACATGCGCACATATGTCCACACATTCAAATGAACCACTTTCATCTTATTCTCATGCAATTGCTAACCTTTGCTGAAATTGTAAAATTAAAACTAGTTTCTTATTGTTGAGTAAAATAACATACCAAATAGAACCAAGAGTTCAACCTCCTTGATGTTTTTTGGTAATGTGCCTAATTAAAAATAACTAGGCTCCCCAATGCATAATTACAGGAGCACCCAATACACTATACTCTAGCCAGATTTTATTCAATCATAAATATAAGCTAGAAATATGAATGATTGCTGTTCTGCTCCCTGCTGGATCTGTACTGTTTCTGAATCAAAGCTCTTTCCTGAGTTGGGCATTTTCAATCCACTTTTTCTTGCTGTGCAATCATCTCCCAGTTGGACAATTAATAAGTACTTTCCCTCCATAGCTCTAGATGTACAACTGCTTTACCCTGTGCTTTTGCGTGCACTGTATACCTTCCTCACTCTGACTGGTTTTGGCAGTGACCCATAATCTAAATCCCTTTTCCCCATTTGATATAAGTGAAACCATAATTATCTAGGGCTAATTTCAAATTACTACTTCATTCCACTCTCAACTGATGAAGATTAGTGGTCTTACTTTGCATGTGAGTAAGTCAGCAACACAATCACAAGAGAACTCAGCAGGCAACATTTGATTCATGTGAACTCAATTACTTCTGTCAAACACATCTATTTCAATAAAAAGCAGAACCTTCCAAAATGGACTTTTGCTAACCATTTTGTACTAAAAACATCATATGACTCCTGGGGGGAAAAATAATATGGAATATACAAGAATATAATAAATAACAGGTAAGGAAACAGACATGGCTAAATGGAGTTCTATTAGTACTTTTTCCTGAAAACAAAAAACATTTCAAAGAAATAATTTTTCATACTTAGAGTACTTAATTATAGAAATTTGAGGCATGTATTTCACCAATGCACATTTTACGTTGATTAAAAAAGTTAAAGTTTTGTATTATTTGACTCAACACTGATTACTACATATAAAGTTGTCCACTTCTCTGAAAGGAAGTTCAGTGGGACCTTCAAGTGATATGAAGATAAAGGATCATGTATTACTTAACTGACCTTGTCCACTAAAGCTGTCCTTTGTTATCATTAGAAGTGAGACCATATAGTTAATTCACTGTCTAGCTTTCTCACGCCCCCAAATTTAATTTCCAAAACCTTTACGTAAATCCTATCATGCATACAGGGATTAGAGGTCACACAAACATGATTGGCCAGGTTTACCAGGTCAGCACCTGGAAAATTCTGCAAAAACTCATGTACAATCATGTACAATAATGTATTACAATACATATATTCAAACTTCAGCTTCTTGACATAATGAAACCCTTAATTAAACATTAACCTAATTTGATTAGCAGAGACTGAGTAATTAAATGTCATTATGTAGTAAGTCAACTTTATAAATATATTTCAGTAGACCACATTTTTGGCTTAACAAAACTAACTGAGATGTTGTCCATAGTGGTGAATATTTGAAATGCCAATCATTTCAAAGCATGAAAATGACTCTTTTCTGGCTATGAGAATTTGGCGTCAGAGTCTTTGCCCATGAAAATATTATTTAAGAAGATTTTTTCAAATATGATTTTTGAACAGAACATTTTCTGTATGTAAATAGAAATGTAAAATAAATCAGAAAAACATTATATTTTGCACACCATTGTACATTCCTTTTACTCTTTGTTGACTATTCCCTTTCCTCTTGGTTTCCAATTTCTTTCTTACTTCTTGATTCAAACATATGCCATTCTTGCCATATGAAGTGAATAGTGTATTGGAAATAAAAAGAATCATTAATTAAGTAATAAATAATGAATTAGGTATAAATTGCACATCTAAATGATTCTATGAAAAGGCAGCATGTATGTAAATAAGAGTGAGCCTTGATGCAGTGTTGAGGTATAACATCCCTCAAGAAGAGATACCAGGGTGCTGAACTGAAGGATGAGTAGGAATTAGCTAGGAAAGATGGAGAAAAATGGCTACTGAACAAGGCAAGAGTAGAATTATAAAAGGACAAGTAATGCTATGGAAAATATACTTTGTATAAACTGCACATACCTTGCATGCTTAGAATATAGAGGCAATGTTGGGGAAGCAGAACATTTAAGAAACTACCAGAAAGGATTGAGTTTCTCCTTAGAGTCATGTTTTTTTTTCCTCAGACAATACACACAAACTTCTTGTTATCTACTTAATATTATGGCATCATGCTGAAAACAATATGAAACCCATAAAAGCACACACTTCCAAGGGGGAAAAATGTGTTTCCTTATAGGCTGGCATAAAGTACTGCCCCATTTCCAAAAGCCATTGATAAATATCCAAGTCTAAAAGGACAACTTACCATACTGCAGGCAAAGTGAGAGCATTTTCAAATGAATGAGGAAGCATGCATGATCAAGTTTCAATTTAAAAGAAAAATTAAAACAGAAAAAAAAATCTCCAAGTGCAAATTGCTTTGAAATGACCTTTCTGTACTGGCGCTGTCTCCAAACAGTTATTTTCATGGGGCACTGTTTATTATGCATTTAAAATTGATCTATAAATTTTGAAAAGCAAGCATATAATTGCAACCATATGTAAACAAGGTAGTAAGCTAAGCCCTGCGAGGTGACAAATGTTTTTCTGAGAAGTTCATGTGGCTAAACCTATTTCAAAGAATTTTTAAATGGAAGTTAAAATTGGCATGACAAGTAACTGGTAAGTTTTTTGCATTTAAATTCTGTACAGCAAAACAAGGATAGAAATAACTTCATGACGGAAATCCACAGTGGTAGACAGACAACAATCCTATAATGGATGATAGCAAGCAATTCGTTGTGCCATTCACAGTAAAACTTCTGAGAATGACGTCAATATGAAAACATCATACTGAAAATCACACACTCTCCGAGTATTACATATGTATACCAAATAAAGTAGTATATTAAATCTTCCATCATTGCTTGTGAATTTAGAAATTCATGGAAGCAAGAACTAAAACTTGAAAAGAAATAATCTCTGTAAATTAAGAAAATGAAAGGTCACTTGTTGTTACCACTGAGCGACAAACACATGCGTGATCCAAGAGAAGCACAAAGCCGTGATGGACCCACAGCAAGAGGCTTACCTTGGCAGGTGCCATTTTTCTCTTCATATCCAGCCTTGCACATGCATTTCCCGATGGGAACCAGCCACTCCCCTTCAGCACTGCAGTGCATTTTGGGAGGATCATCTGTCACAGAATGGTTGACACAGGAGCCTGATACCTCTAACAATTGTGAAGAATCAGCTCCAGTGATGGTGTCAGGAAAGACAGCCAAGTGTCTTACCACAGAAGGACATTTTTTATAGTACACACGCACAGAAACGAGAGCAATGCAAGCACCGACATCCTGGAAAGCGAGATAAAATCCCTTTTTACTCAGAGGTCCTACATCTCTGACTTCAGTATTCAGTTTCATGACACGGTCTCCAAGATCAAGTTCTGTAAAGCTCTCATCAGCAGCAATGGTGTCAATCTTGATGTACTGGTTCTCTTTAACATTTCTCCCATTCTCATCATCAGATTCAAAATAATACATGTTAAATGTCTCCTTACAAGTGCCCAGTCCTCCAGGGAGGCTGTTGCAATCTCTTAGAGTAAATTTGAGCTCAATAAAGATTCTGGAAGCACCTTCATTGGAGATCCAACTGGTCAACAACCAATTATTCTGATTCTGTTCCATTACTTTGCACACTTGGTATGTGTGGATAGGGGCGTAGTTTTCATCAACTTCACCAATTTCTTCCCACTGCACAAAATAAAGTAGAGAAATATGAAAAAAACAGAAACTCAAACAGTGAAAAGAAAAATCACATTTACCAAAAAATATAAAACCTAATTTACCAAAAGAATATATGATCCTTCATATATATCATTGAAATAAGTCACATAAAAAGTTTGGGGAGTAGAGATTCTCTGAATTGATTTTCTGAATTTAATGTTAGGAATTCAATCCGATGTCTCATTCACAGTTTATATTCTCCCACTAACCTACAGCTCTACATACCCAGTTGTTATGTACATCATTGGATTAACCCACAGACAGAAAAATTTGAATGAAATGCCCCAAAGAGGGAAAAAGACAGCTTTATATTAAAAACTTAAAAAGAGATGTATATTTGATAAACAGAAAGAAAGAAAATGGATGAGATGGAACAAAGGTGAATCTCTAGATAAGATTACAATTATGGTATAGATAGTGTCTAAAAGTTCTATGTGCTAAAAATTTGATGCCATCCCACAGAGCTATTCGAAAGATATTGCCACAGTGAACAGTTAACGGTCTAACTAGGAAAAAAATATTATTTTGACAAAGGAACATAGCAACAAAATGTCTACTTACTTACATATTAATATAGTTAATACCCATAGATGAGTTCATCCCTCAACTGACTTCAGAGAATAGTCTTCTTACAGTAGATGGCAACTAATACTGACACCCAAACTGTACAATGTTCATAGATTGAGAGATTTTAGAGCACTCCTAGATAAATAGAATTTCTATTTGTTTGCTTCTTGTTTTTATTTATTTTTACCAAACCCTCTCCCTCAAGACTATGCACAGAAAGATTGTAAGAGCCAGAGAGGGTTGCTGGATGATGCCTAAGAAACAACATCTTCCACATAGAATAGGACTGATTTACATATGAATTTACAGAGACAGTGACAGCACACAAGACCTGCACAGGTTCAAACTACACAAAATTACACCATTGAAAAGAGGAAGTGAACACGAAGGCCCACCACTAGCCAAGCAGCTATTCATAGTCACTGCCTGCTGGGAAAGGGGAAATAGGTTTTCTCCAATGGAGTATCACATTCCACAGAAAAGCCCCAATGCCCAGATATAATTGACCAATACAAAACAGACTCCGTATTTTTTAGGAGGGGTGGCTTTTTTGTTTCATTGTGGTTTTTTTTTTTTCGTTTTTTTGTCTTTTTTTTTTGTTGGCTGCTGATTGCGGATTATTTCTTTGAGAGGGAGAAAGATCAATAAAAAGTTAAGTAGTGAAATGAGAAGGAGCTGGAAAGGACTGGGGGAGAGGAAAAAATATGCTCAAAATATATTGTATGAAAAAATTAAACAAAGAGAAAATAAAATAGTTGAGACCTAGAGAGAAATTATTAATTCATTGCACAGATTTCTTCAAAGAGAATGAGAGGAACTACTCCCTTATTTTCCTCTCTGTTGCATTCTGGTCAGGTAAGCAGTTTTTCTCCACCACATACTCTTGCCAGCACCAAGGCTAAGAGTTTTGGGGCTCAATTGGTCAAAGTGTAAATTCATTAAAACTTCATGTTAAGATTTAGCTTTTCTTCCTATGATTTAATTACAACAGGCATTCATGTAGAGTTGAAAGCTAACCAGGTAAGTCAACTTTAACTGTAAAAAAAGTATAATTTTAAATAAACAATGAGAACATAGAACAGCAAGTGAAAGGTCCAGGCATTGTGCTGTCTTGCCCTGTTACCTGGCAGGTTGTACTCAGGCAACACTCTGGCCAGCCCAGAGTTCCATGAGAACCATGCAGGTGCAAAGGACCCCTTTAAAGGACTCACCCCTGCCCATTTACACTCTCTTGCTCTTGCTCTCTTACTCTCTTACCCTCTTGCACTCTTGTCTCTCTCTCTGTCTCTTTCTGTCTTTCTCTGTCTGTCTCTCCTCTCTCTCTCTCTTTCTCTCTCTCTCTCTCTCTCTCTCATATCTTATCTATCTCTCTGCTCTGCAAGAGTTGGTTACCTCTCACCCCCCTTTCCTTCCCTGTCTATCAATAAACTCCACGTGGGATCGTTGAGTCACGGTCTGTGTCTCCTTACTGGATAAACCTAAACATTTTAACAACATTGGTTCCCTGACCCGGACAGGCTCTCCCTGTGGCTCTGCTACCTGCCAACCCGGCAGGTGACCACGCAGGTAACCTGTAATATCGGAACAACAGCCCACTTTCCATCGACCAGAACGCTACATTTTACATGCAACGCCGGCTGCGATTTGGTAAGGACCCCCTTTAAGTCAGCGAAACATTTCCCTAAACCCTAAGGGCTGACCGTTGAGCGTCTGCCACCCTTATGGTGTTTTTGGAAATGTGGGGAATTCATCCAGCCACGATCTTCAAGATCACGGTTGGCCCCCATCGTCTGACAATCATTTTTGGTTTGTTTTCCACCGGCACGGCCTATTGGTAATTTTTCGGCTCCTTTAAGAGCCTACGGTGGCTCTTAGCCTTTCGGCCGCTGGTTCCTTTTATTGGGTGGTCTTTACTGCCCTACCTAGGCTCTCAGGCTGACAAGCTCTGAAGAGTTGATCTGGCTGTTTTGTTTTCCTTTAGACCGGACTCATGGGTAACAAACCGACAAAGTAAATTCCTCTATGCCTTAAGTCATCCAGACTCACTTTTCTCAGTATATTTTACGGGACCTCTCTAGTCACTGCCAGCGATCTGTTCGATGGAAGGAGTTGCCCTATGTTCAAGCTTTTCTCTGCCTCTCTCCTAAACATTCTCTTCAACATTCTTTCTCCCTCCAAATCTCATTCTTCTAGCTTTAAAAACTCCCGCCAGTCACAGAGGCTTCCCGCCACATCCCATCATGGCTAAACCTGCCTCAGGGCAGGATCCACCTTCCACCTGGGAGTGTCCTGCTTTGCCTCTCTCCTGTTGATATCAATTTAGCTTCTGCTCAGGACATTTTGAGAGTTTTTCATTTTTTCCCCACAAATGAGGTTTGAGGTTTTCGGATTTTTTACTGCTCAGACCCACGAGGGGTCTCTCGGGTTTTATACCCTGGCATGGGCCATTCATTTGCTTCTTAGACCTGCGGTGGTCACACATCATTCTGCCTCACTCGTGGAGGGAAAAGGCCACTTTTGCTGACAGATGGAAATGTGCCTATAGAGGCCGCCATCTTGGCGATCTAAACCATGTGGCCTAGCTTGGAAACCTGTTTACTGAGTCCGCCATGTTTACCGCATGACCTAGCTGTAGACATGCCCACTCAGTCCAGCCAGCTTCTGCAGGCCAAACCCGCTGATAGATATAATTCATTTAATTCATTTACTTTTTGTCTCTTTTGCACTTTTACTTTTGTCTCTAATTTCATCTTTCACTGGCCCTGTTGTGCATGACTTATTTATGGAATACTGTGCCTTTCCAGGGTCCCCTGTTCTATCTGCAATAAATATTCCTTCTCATCACTGTCTCTTTAAATCTATCTGTTTGCTACAAGTGTGGGTCAAACACTTTCCCAATCCTGTTTACTGTATCTATCTATATGTATGTGTAAAAAATACAGTAACTTTAATTCAACTATACTAAATATCAAATATTTCTAAATTGTTATATCTTTTAAATGATGATAAACAGTTAAAGTTATAGGGGTCTTTTTAAAATTAACAAAATATAACACCCAGTCCTTCCTGTAAGCTGGTTACAAAGGTAAAGCTTCTATTCTATTCTCTAGTAGCTGGTTACAAAGGTAAAGCTTCTATTCTATTGTCTAGCCACCTATGTGCTTAAGGCAAGTCACTAAAGATAAATTCTGTCTACTAAGATATACTAAACAGACAAACGGTCCTTAAAATACTCAGAGGTCTAGAGAATATGGCATTTAAATGTTTTATTTAAAAGCTTTTTATAACAGAGACAAGCCAGCTGCTGGCACCACCCCATTTCCTCCAAGAAGACTGGTGGACACTGAAGAAACTCTGCCCACAAAAGTGGCAATGCTGGCCACTGAGCAACCCTGCCCTTCACCTCAACTGCTTCAAAGGACCCTTCACTGGACAAGAGGACACTGGAATTGACTTTCTCCATGTTGCTCAGGTCAACGGTAGGAAAGTCTTCCTAAAAAGTCCCCAATCCGCGGGTCTCCCTATCAGCAAAAGGCAGTTGTCTTTGGATCCTCTGATTTCAACAACTGTGGAGGCCCTTGGGGTGGTTGTCCATTCAATCAGCTACTAAGTCTCTCATTTTCCAGTTTTAGGTAAATCTTATCCTTCTCAAGAACTCTGATGCTTTTGATGGCTGGTAGCTTCGCCAACTTAAAGTAGCAGACAAGGCAAAGCTCTGTCATAAAACAGATTTCAGGAATGAGTACTCTAAGGTTTATCTATATAAGATGTTTAAGTTGAGACATTAAAAAATATGTTCCAGGTTTCTCTTTCATTATACTACTTTTCATAGTCTTAACATTAATCAATAAAGTTCTGATAAGCTACTAATCTAACTCCAACAGAGTGCTAAACAACTATACAACTACATGATCATAACTACAAGCTCAAAATTAAGGTGCTTTTCATTGTGCTAAAAATATCTGTTTTTAAAATGTTAATGCTTTGAGCCAAGTCTTTTCTAATACAAATATCCTGCTGATATGTCTAATACTTATGTTTTCACAAACTCAAAGGATTATTGTAAGTTCCAGAAAGCCAAATTGGACCCATCCAAACAGCTCAGATTCACTCCACATATTATTCAACCTCTCCCTGGTCCTGGGACTCCCCTCCCTTATCTTGGGACCCCTTGGGAGCCCCTCCCTTATCTTACAATCTTCCCCTCAAATACCAGGACCTAAGAAAGAAAATTTTAAACCTAACTTTGTTCTCTACTCTGCTAACATCTTGCCAGATCTACAGAGGCGCCAGACAGTCCCATACAGCCTAGACTACAGCGGGTTCCATACAGCCTGGACTACAATAGAACAACCAGCGTGGCAACACCCCAACTTTCTCAGGTTCCCCAAAGATGATCG